AAGAAATGTTTTAAAGGAATAAAGAAAAGAGTTTCAAAAAAAAATTATTCCAAAACAGAAAGTTTATTTAAAAAGAAAATACAACCACTGCGGAAAGTTCAGGTAAAGGAGAGAATAGCCTCTAGTGACCCTGAATTCATAAATAAACAAAATTTTGTGTTTAAGCAACCAAAAAAAAAAAGCCCTGGCCCAGATGACTTCACTGGAGAATTCTACCAAACATTCAGAGAGGAGCTTACACTAGTACTATTCAAGCTATTTCAGAAAATAGCAAATGAAGGGATACTTCCTAATTCATTCTATGAAGCCTGCATAACCTTGATACCAAAACCAGGCAGACACCACAAAAAAAGAAAATTAAAGATCAATATCTTCCATGAAAACATATGCAAAATTTCTAAACAAAATTCTAGCCTATAAAATTCAGCATCATATCAAAAAAATAATACACCACTACAAGTAGGATTCATACCGGGTATGCAAAGATGGTTCAGCATTAGAAAATCCGTGTAATCCACTACATAAATAAACGAATCACATGATCACCTCAATTGACCCAGAAAAGGCACTTGACAAAGTCCAGCACTCATTCCTGATAAAAACTCTCAATAAAATAGGTGTAGAAGGGAAATTTTCCAACATAATAAAGGGTATCTGTACAAAACCAACAGCCAACATCATTCTTAACAGAAAAGAAGACATTCCCCCTGAGAATAGGAACAACACAAGGATTCCCATCATCACCTCACCTATTTAACATTGTGCTGGAAGAACTAGCTACAGCAGTACGGCAAGGAAAAGAAATAAAGAGGATCCAAATTGGTAATTGTCATGGTCTGAATTATATCCCCCCAAAAGTGTGTGTATCAATTTGACTGGGCCATGATTCCCCAAATTGTGTGGTTGGCCTCCACTTTGTGATTGTAATTTTATGTTAAAGAGGATTACGGTGGGATTGTAACACCACCCTTATCCAGGTCACATCCCTGATCCAATAGGGTGTTTCCCTAGGGTGTGGCCTGCACCACCTTTTACCTTACAAGAGATAAAAGGAAAGGGAAGCAAGCAGAAAATTGGAGACCTCATACCACCAAGAAACAAACGCTAGAAGCAAAGCACGTCCTTTGGCCCCTAGGCTCCTGCACAGAGAAGCTCCTAGTCCAGGGGAAGACTGATGATGAGGACCTTCCTCCAGAGCTGACAGAGAGAGAAAGCCTTCCCCTGGTGCTGACACCCTGAATTCGGACTTCTAGCCTACTAGACTGTGAGAAAATAAATTTCTCTTTGTTAAAGGCATCCATCTGCGGTATTTCTGTTGGAGCAATACTAGATATCTAAGACAGAATTTGGTACCAAGAGTAGGGTGCTGCTCTAATGGATACCTAAAATGTGGAAGCAGTTTTGAAACTGTGAATGGATAGAGGAGCAGCAGTGGCAGAGGACCAGCAACAGCAGAGAACCTGTAGTGGCAGAGAAGCGGCAGTGGCAGAAAACCAACAGCAGCAGAACCAGGAGACCAGCACAAGATGGTGCTGGAGCCGACCCATGGAGTGAGGAGAGACAAGTGCCTGTGCGCTGGAGGCTTCCTGGCAGAGTAGGGTGCCTCCAGGCACTTATTGGTGGAGCTAGGCTTGCTGACCCACAGAGCAAGGGAGCTGAGTGCCTGTGTGCAGAAGGCTTCCTGGTGGAGTGGGGTGCTTTCCGGCACTTATTGGTGGAGCCACCCAGCTTTGGAACACTTGCCCCAGCACAGCAGATGCCGGCTTGAGGCCTGAGGGCCCAAAGGCCACAGGAAGCAGAAGCTGAAGAGACAAGGAACACAAGAAGTTGAGATACCTCAGTCTCAAAAGGTATGGCCATGACCTCAGGGGTTTCAAAGGGTGGAGCCTTGGTCCCTGGTGTTTCTAAAGGTGGAGTTGTCACTCTGATGGACTTGGAGAATTGTGTGCCTAAAGCCAAGGGAGCAGAGTTGTTGTCCCAGTGGGTCTGGAAGGCGGAGCTGAAGCCCAGGGCCGAGGGGCCTCCACTCAGAATCCAGAGACTGTGGCCAATACCTAGAGTCTGGAGGGCAGGGCTATTGTGTAAATTGTCTCAGAGTACAGAGGTTTATTTTCAAAGCCTTGAGGCTAATGTAATGTGTTCTGCTGACTTGCTTGGTGCCTGTTATCCCTTCTCCTACGGTTTCTCCCATTTGTAATGGAAATGTCTAGCTTGTGCTTGTTCTGCCATTGTACCTTTGGAAGCAGATAACTTGTATTCTAGATTTCACAGATGAGAGGAATTTTTGGATTTTGGACTTGGAGTTAAGACTTTTGTTATGATATGATGGGGTGAATATGTTTTCCATGTTCCAAAGATGTGATTTCTTGGGGGCCAAAGGGTGGAAGGTCATGGTTTGAATTATGTCCCCCAAAAAATATGTGTATCAATTTGGCTGGGCCATGATTCCCAGAATTGTGTGGTTGGCCTCCATTTTGTGATTGTAATTTTAGGTTGAAGAGGATTAAGTTGGGATTGTAACACCACCCTTACCCAGGTCACATCCCTGATCAAATGTAAAGGGAGTTTCCCTAGGGTGTGGCCTGCAACACCTTTTACCTTACAAGAGATAAAAGGAAAGGTAAGCAAGCAGTAACACCAGGAGCAGATCACGGCCTTTGGACCAGAGGTTTCTGTGCAGAGAAGCTCCTAGTCCAGGGGAAGAATGATGACAACGAGGACCTTCCTCCAGAGCCAACAGAGAGAGAAGGCCTTCCCCTGGAGCTGACACCCTGAATTTGGACTTCTAGCCTACTAGACTGTGAGAAAATAAATTTCTCTTTGTTAAACCATCCACTTGTGGTATTCCTGTTAGAGTAGCTCTAGATAACTAAGACAGTAATGAAGAAGTAAAATAGTGGTCTCATACGATGTTTGTCCTTTTGTGACTAATTTCACTCAGCATAATATCTTCCAGATTCATCCGTGTTATGACATGTTTTGCAGATTCATCGTTGTTCTTTATCATTTCATAGTATTCCATTGTGTACCATCACCACATTTTTAATAAAAATGTCATAAGTACTTCCTCTACATACACTGAGCACAACATCAGATGATATAATTTTGTTTCAACAGTCAAAACTGAACAAACTCATGAGGAGAAAGTCTATTATATTTACCCCTATTATTTTTAATCTACTCCATTTTTCTTCCTTCCTTCCTCAAGTCTCAGTTCTACTGTTACGTTTTTCTTTCTATTTGAAGAAATTAATTTAGCTATTCTTTAAGGATGGGTCTGCTGGAGACAAATTCTCTTAGTTCTCTTTTGTCTGTGAGTGTCTTTATTTCCTCATTGTTCCTAAGGATGGTGTTACTGTTTACAGAACTTGCAGTAGACAGTTCCTTTCTTTCAGAGTTTGAAAAATCTTGTATCACTACCATCTGACTTCCACTGATTTCAGATGAAATAACACACTGTCATTTGAATCCTTGTTGCCTTATAGGTAACGCATAGTATCTCTCTAGCTGCTTACAAGGTTTTTTTCTGTTACTTTACTTTTCAGCTATTTGATTATGATGTGTCTTGATACAGATTTCTCTGGGTTTATCTTGTTTGAAGTTCATTCACTTTCTTGAATATGCAGGTTTATGCTTTATGCCCAATTTGGGAAATGTCATCCATTTTAATATTTTTTATCCTTCTACACATTCTTTCTTCTCTTTTTAAGGGACTCCAAATTTTTCTGTTTTCCCACAGAAATCTGCAACTGTTTAACTATTGTTTCTTTGTTTCTTTTCCCTCTATTTGTAGATTGGTTAATATTTATTATTTTATAATCAAGTTTTGGATTCACTCTTCTGTTATCTCCAATCAAATACTGAGCTCACTAAGTGAATTTTTCAGAATGTCTGTTAGTATGTTTTTTTAGTTAAATAGTCCCCATTGGATTTTAAAAATCATTGTCAAATAATTTCAATCTGAGTCACCTCAATGTTAGCATCTGTTGTCTTTTCTCTTTTGAGATTTTCCTCATTCTTGATATTATGAGTGATTTTTAATTGTATCCTGTACATTTTGTGTGTTATGTTTTGAAACTCCGAATTTTATTTAAATCTGATATTTTAACAGACCTCCATTCCTGCTATGCAGGGTGCAAACCAGGCTTTCCACATGACCTCGCTGACACCATGGAAAGGGGACAGGTGCCTTGTTACCTTAGCGTGTGAGTGGAAGTCTAGGCCACTCACTCAGTCCTGATGATCACGGAAGAGGGGAAGGTGATCTTTATTTCTTCTATGGTGATTTGCTAGAGTAGGTTGGGTATTGTTAAAAAGATTTCTCTCTTGCTAGGCTGCTCCTTTCCAGAGCCTTTCGTTAGAGAAACAGACTCTTCTCGGAACTATTTTGTCTGCACTGGATATCGATTCTGGGTTGCAGTCTTCCCCACTGCCCAGTTCAGGATATACAGGAGACAAAAAGAGAACCCAGATAACTCACTGTCATATGGTTCCTTGAGCCCCAAGGTCCATTCCTTCTCTTCATCTTTCAGGGTGTTTTTACTTTGGTTTATATACTATGTCAAAGATTTTTAATTATCCTTAGCAGAAGTACAAATACACCTTTTTATTCTTTGAATTTTTGCAAGAAATTGATATTCCCTTTGTAATAAAAAAAATGACTACAGACCCAAGAGACACTACAGTATATTATATAACAGAAAGGAAAACTTCCTTTATTTATCCTAGGTATGAATTTTTCAGAATATATTCATGAAGAAAAAATTGGTACTGTAATGCTGCAAAGCAGACATCTTTATTAGTAGTGTTTTAGTGTTGTTTTAAGGAAGGATAAAAGGAAGAACTGAAAAATTTTGTAGCCCTCAATTTATATGATTAGAATTTATTCAGTGCATCATTTCTGTCAGAAATTTTACATATTGTACTTCATTGTATTTGCTTCATTTTATTCTGCTCATTGATCTGATCTCTCCATATATCATATATGTATATATATTTAGATTCTGAAGGATAATGTGGGCCCCCTCCACCTATTGAAAATGGAGACACAACTTCATTCCCATTACCTCCCTATGCTCGAGGATCATCAGTTGAGTACCAATGCCAGAACCTCTATGAACTTCAGGGTAACAAGTATATAACATGTAGAAATGGACGGTGGTCAGAACCACCAAAATGCTTAGGTAAGTACTTCAGTATTCTCCTGGATCCTGGGAAAATCAGAGTAATGAGCATGATGTTTTGCTGTTTCTATTTGTGAACCAGTGAAGAACTATTGTGTTGAATACTTGACCACCAAATATCAATAAAGCAAAACTTGTTGCTATCAAGTCAATTTTTACTCAGTGCAACTCCATGTGTTACACGGTAGAACTACTCCATAGTGTTTTCCAATATTAATATGTGAGGGTATGACATTTTAGAAATTCTTATTGAAACAATAGGTATGAATGTTTCTTTAATGCAAAACTCTTCATGTGACAATTCACATTATGGTTCACTGATAATTACATCTAGCTATCACATATTAAGCATAATATGTCATTTTTGTATCATTTACTTGTTTCTAGTTCCCTGGGTGGCACAAATGGTTTGCACTCATCTACTAACCTAAAGGTTGGCGGTTTGAGCCCACCATGCAGTGTTGTGAAAGAAAGGCCTGGCAATCTGCTTCTGTAATGATTACAGCCAAGATAACCTATGAGGCAATTCCATGCTGTAACACATGGGGTTGGAATAGACAAGTCATAATTGATTTGACTGCAATAGATTAGGTTATTTAGTTTTACCATTTTCACAATATTTAAATATACATGATGATTTTTCAGAAACAGTTTGGAAAGATTTAGAGAAAGAATTCATTATCTAACATTCTACTTGCAACTTTGAAAGTTTATGAAAATAATTTTTTGTCTACTAATAATTTTTATTTGTTTTTTCTACATTCAGATGCATGTGTAATATCAGAAGAAATGATGGAAAAAAGTAACATACAGTTAAAATGTAAACGTGACAAAAGACTTTATTCCAAAACAGATGATGTTGTTGAATTTACTTGTAAATGGGGATATAGACCAAAGACACCAGGAGAGACTTTTCGAGCAACATGTTGGGAAGGGAAGCTGAAGTATCCCATTTGTGAAAACTACTATGGTTAAAATGCATTTATATAATCAAAATATACACATATCTTGAATTTTGTGTTATTAATCTAGTTTTCACAATTTTATTTTTCTAAATGTTAAGTCATTTTTATTCATAAGTTAGAATTTGCATTATATATTAAGTGAATGCAGTAATTATAATCGGAGAGACCAAAATCTGATCCTAAAAAGCACCATATTAAAACTTGGCAAACCGTAAGGCTATGTGTCCTGTTCCTAAAACATTCTTCACAAGAAATTAGAGGCACTCATTTCAGTGCCTGCTTTGGTACATCACTTTACTCTCTCAAAGTTTTTTTTTTTTTTTAATTTTTAATTGTATTGTACTTTAGATGGTTTACAGAACAAATAGTTTCTCGTTAAACATTTAGGACACTATTGTTTTACGACAATGATTAACAACTTCACGTCATGTCGACACTCTCCCTTCTCAACCTTGGGTTCCCTATTACCAGCTTTCCTGTCCCTTCTGGCCTTCTAGTCCTTGTCCCTGGACTGTTGTTTCCATTAGTCTCATTTTGTTTTATGGGGCTGTCTAATCTTTGGCTGAACGGTGAACCTCTGGACTGACTTCATTACTGAGATAAAAGGGTGTCCTGGGACCATACTCTCAGGGTTTCTCCAGTCTCCGTCAGGTGAGTAAGTCTGATCTTTTTTTGTGAGTTAGAATTTTGTTCTACATTTTTTTGCCAGCTCTGTCCGGGATCCTCTGTTGTGATCCCTGTCAGAGCAGTCAGTGCTAGCCAGGCAACATCTAGTTCTACTGGACTCAGTCTGGTGGAGGCCATGGTTGATGTGGTCCATTAGTCCTTTGGAATGTGTTATGCCAATTGAGCTAGATGTTCCCCGAGACCATGACCCCTCAGCCCTCTCCCCAGCAATTCAGTCCCTTAGGGAGTTTGGATGTGTCTATGGAGCTTCCATGACCTTTCCTTGTACAAGTTGTGCTGGCTTCCCCAGTATTGTGTACTGTCTTACCCTTCACCAAAGTTACCACTTATCTATTGTCTATTCAGTATACCCTCAACTCCTCTTATCCCTCCTTTACCAACAAAGATTGTTTTTTTTTGTGTGTAAACTTTTTCATGAGTTTTTACAGTAGAGGTATCATACAAAATTTGTCCTTTTCTGACTGACTTGTTTCACTCAGCATAATAGCCTCGTTTCATCCATGTTATAAGAAGCTTCACAGATACATCATTGTTCTTCATCATTGCATAATACTCCATTGTGCGTATGTACCATAGTTTGTTTATCCATTCATCTGTTGATGGGCATCTAGGTTGTTTCCATCTTTTTGCTATTGTAAACAATGCTGCAATGAACATGGGTGTGCATATTCCTATTTGTGTGATGGCTCTTATTACTCTAGGATATATTCCTAGGAGTGAGATTGCTGGATGGTATGGTATTTCTATTTCTAGGTTTCTAAGGAAGCACCATATCATCTTCCAAAATGGTTGTATCATTTTACATTCCCACCAGCAGTGTATAAGTGTTCCAATCTCCCCGCAGCCTCTCCAACGTTTGTTATATCCAGTGTTTTTGATTCATGCCAGTAATGCCGGGGTGAGATGGTATCTCATTGTGGTTTTGATTTGCATTTCTCTAATGGCTACTGATTGCGAGCATTTCCTCATGTGTCTGTTGGCCTCTTGAATGTCTCCTTTGGTGAAGTGGCTGTTCATTTTCTTTGCCCAATTTTTAAATGGATTATATGTCTTTTTGTTGTAGACGTGTTGGATTTTCTTATAGATTTCAGAGATTAGACCTTTGTCTGAGTTGTAATGTCCAAAAATTTTTTCCCAGTCTGTAGATTCTCTTTTTATTCTTTTGGTGAAGTCTTTTGATGAGCATAAATGTTTAACTTTTAGAAGATCCCGGTTATCTAGCTTATCTTCTGGAGTTTGTGTGTTGTTGGTTATGGTTTGTATCCTGTTACTGCTGTGCATTAGAGCCTCTAGCATTGATCCTATTTTTTCTACTATGAACTTTATAGTTTTGGGCTTTATATTTAAGTCTTTGATCCATTTTGAATTAGTTTTTGTATATGGTGTGAGGTATTGGTCTGTTTCATTTTTTTGCAGATGGACATCCTGTTTTGTCAGCACCGTTTGTTAAAAAGACTGTCTTTTCCCCATTTTATGGAGCTTGGGCCCTTGTCAAAGATCAGGTGACCGTAGGTGGAAGGATTTACTTCTGGCTTCTCAATTTTGTTCCATTGGTCAAGGTATCTGTCATTGTACCAGTACCAGGCTGTTTTGACTACTGTAGCTGTATGGTAGGTTCTGAGGTCAGGTAGTGTGACTCCACTTAGTTTATCCTTCTTCTTCAGTAGTGCTTTACTTATTCGAGGCTTCTTCCCTTTCCATATAAAGTTAATCATTAGTTTTTCCAACTCTTTAAAGAATGTTGTTGGTACCTGGATCAGAATTGCCTGGTATTTGTAAATTGCCTTGGGTAGAATTGTCATTTTCAGAATGTTGAGCCTAGCTATCCATGAGCATGGTATGTTTTTCCATTTATGTAGACCTCTTTGGGTTTCTTGCAGTAGTGTTTTGTGGTTTTCTTTGTATAGGTCTTTTACATCCCTGGTTAAATTTATTCCTAAGTATTTTATTTATACAGAGGTATTATGAGGACTGCCTTTGCTGTGCCCCAAAGCTTTTGGTATGATGTGTTTTCATTCTCATTTGATTCTAGGAATTTTTTGAATCCATCTCTGATTTCTTCTATTACCCAGTGATGTGTAAGCAGGGTATTATTCCATTTCCACGTAGTTGATTTTTTTCCTTGCTCTTTCTATTGTTAAGTTCTACCTTGATGGCATTGTGGTCAGAGAAGATACTTTGAATTATCTCAATGTTTTGGATCTTGTTGAGGATTGCTCTGTGGCCTAAGATGTGGTCTATTCTGGAGAACGTTCCATGTGCATTCGAAAAGAATGTGTACTTTGCAGCGGTTGGATGGAGTGGTCTATATATGTCTATGAGGTCAAGTTGGCTGATTGTGCCTTTTAGGTCTTCTGTATCTTTGCTGAGTTTCTTCTTAGTTGTTCTGTCCTTTACTGAGAGTGGTGTGTTGAAGTCTCCTACTATTATTTTGGAACTGTCAATTTCTCCTTTCAGTGCTGTTAGAGTTTGTTTTATGTATTTTGGAGCCCTGTCATTGGGTGCATAGTTGTTTATTATGGTTATGTCTTCATGATGGACTGTCCCCGTAATTATTATATAGTGTCCTTCTTTGTTTTTTATGGTGGATTTTGTTTTAAAGTCTATTTTATCTGAGATTAGTATTGCCACTCCTGCTCTTTTTTGGTAGCTGTTTGCTTGATACTGTTTTTCCATTCTTCGATTTTTAATAAATTTACATCTTTGTTTCTAAGGTGTGTCTCTTGTAGACAGCATATTGATGGATCCTGTTTTTGTATCCATTCTGTCTCTCTCTCCACCCCTTTATGGGTGCATTTAGGACATTTAAATTCAGTGTAATTATCGATAGGTGTGAGTTCATTGCTGTCATTTTGTAGTGCTTTTTTTGTGGTGCTGATGTTTTCTTTGTCCCTCTTACTCTCCTGTGCTGAATTCCTGGTGTTTGTGGATTTTTTTTTTCATTTCTTTTGGTTTCGTACATTTTGTTTTTACTGAGACTTTATGTTTTTCTTCTTTAGTTTAATGAGTAGGTTTGTTAACTTTCTTTGTGGTTATCTTGAAATTTACCCTTATCTTCGTAGGCTTGAACCAGTCTATTATTACTTGATATCGCCTTGCCTTCCTCTCCTTTAGAAGGTTCTATACCTACACCATCTATTCCGTCTTTTATTGTTCTGATGTTGTTGTCATTTACAGATTAACCTCTCTGGGTCCCTGATGTAATTCTTTTGGTTTTGGATAGTCCTTGAGAGTTCATTTCCTGGGTTGATATCTGGCCGGTACGATCCTGCATCCTAGATTCAGCCTGTGGTCTGATGTTGTTTGTTTTCAAATCGAAGGACTCCCTTTAATAGTCCTTGTAAGTTTGGTTTGGTTTTTCCATAGTCCCTTTATTTCTGTTTATGTGGAAATGTCCTAATTTCTCCATTATTTTTGAACAAGAGTTTTGCAGCAGGTATTATTTTTTGCTGGCAATTTTTTTTTCTCAACATTTTACAGACATCATGCCATTGCTTTCTTGCCTGCCTTGTTCCTGCTTAGTCTTATGGTTTCTCCTCTGTATATCACTTTTTGTTTTTCTTGAGCTGCTCTCAGGATTCTTAGCTTGACTTTGGTTTTGTGAGTGTGATTATAATGTGCCTTGGTGATTTTCTTTTGAGGTCTATCCTATATGGGGTTTGTTAAGCTTCTTGGTTGGTTGGCTTTTCATCTTTCATGATATTGGGGAAGATTTCTGTCGGCAGTTCTTCAATAATCTTCTCTGTGTTTTCTGTTTTATCCCCCTCTTCTGGAACTCCAATCACTTGAAGATTTTTGCTTTTGATTGCCTTCCACATAATTGTCAGGGTTTCTTCATTTTCCTTGGTTCTTTTTTCTGATTTTTCCTCATACAGATTTGTATCCAAGTGTGTGTCTTCAATTTCGCTTATCTTCCGTCATTTCAAACTTTCTCCTCAGCCCTGACTATGACACTGTCGAATTCTGAAATGTTGTTGTTTTAGCTTTTGGATTTCTAATTGTTATTTTTTTGTATGATTTCTAGCTATGAATTTAATTTGGCATTTTGTTCCTGTATTATTTTCCTGAATTCTTCCATTTTTTTTGTCTGTATTTTCCATTTTTTTGTCTGCCTTTTCCATAAATTTGTCTATTTTTACCCATTTTATCTGGTTTTTGCTTCAACTCTTGGATAGCTCTGAATATAAGAGGTTTGAATTCCCTATCAGGTCGTTCCAGTGTCTTTTCTTCTACTGAAAAGTCATCTCTTGTTTTATGTTGTATGCCTACTGAAACCATCCTGTCCTGTTTTTGTATATGTGTTCATATTGTCTGTTGTCTTCA